TTGTATGTCCTATATGATCTGCAGGTACACCTGCTCATAGCAATGTACACTGATTCAAAAGTGTTTCATAGTTATTTTCAAAACTTGTTGGTCCCATTATTTGAGTATGGTCTGCATACCTATCAGGAACACTATTCCATGAACATTTGAAATGATTCCCTGTGAAAATTATTGCCATTAAAAAAAAATTGGTGATAAATTATATATGGTTCACTGCAAATAAGATGTCATTTCAGTGTAGGTTTTCACTTGAGTCACTGATATTTGGTTAGCAAAATTGCATGTCAATTTGTATTGAGTAAAGCCAAGGTTTTAAAATGGTGGTCTGAATGACAGTTTTGCAACAAGGTATCAATCGATGAATGTTGCAAGAGACTAATATAGCTACAAACTATTCAACCTGCAACATGTGAACACCATTTCATGAAATGTCTGTAGTTTTATAAATGTATGTGTTGACTGGCATGATCATGATGAAAAACAGTACTAGTCTATAGATCCACTGACACATGTCTCATTGATATATATAGTTTCTTCATCTTTTGTTATCAAAATTATAATACAGGGATGAAGAATATTTCACCGACCACTAGTAGTGAGATGGTTGTTGCATATGTCCAGCCCAACTAATTTGTAGGCAAAATCATTCAGAGATTCATCAAGATTAAGTGGGGGTGGGTCTTGGTTGCTTTTTCTCAGGCTATTTTGGTTGATGCATGTGTTAGCAGAATGTAGTTTTATGAAATAGACTTTGATATTCTTTTGTCGTGCAACTGAATATAACTTTCAGCAATGGGAATGAGTTTATTATTGTCTAATTTACTCTACAGGTGTTTATAGCAACCATACAATTGCAGTATTTGTCTTGAGGAGGGAATGGCGTCTTATCAGATGAAACCAATAACAAACTCTAGATTCTGTGCACATCATCATCGCACCTAACTGCTACAAATAACATTAATACAATAGTCAGCATTGACTTATTGCATCCATTAATAAATCTAGGACAAATAATGGCTACGATATGTAGTATTGTTTGATTGGTTGGTTGACTGTTAGCAGAAAAGCGAAATGAATCTCTGTTGTGTATATCAAGATTTGAACTTTCAAAATAGATTTGTCAAAATAGATTTGTATAATGAAATCAGAAAAATATATTGCTACCATTCATTATTATTTAAAATAATATTAGTATTGCTATTGTCGTCTCACTACATGTGTGTGTTATAGTCACTTTTATATAATAACTCACTTAAATTTTAAACCATGTGGCAAAGATAAAATGCCAGTTAATTTCAGCTTTAGCAATGTAATGACATTTTTAAATCAATGTGTGTTTCTTCCGAAGACTTGTAATGGTAAGGTTTGTAAATTAATAAGTTTGTGGTATAATTATAATGTAAAATTAGCATACCAACTATCCGGTAGTCATTTTAATAAAACAAAATATCCACTCTACTCTAAATAAATATTCTCAAAAGAAACTATCATGTACGACTGCCATCACATTAACCCCGTGCTTATCAACACACATACATACACATACAAGGCCATTGGGCCATTTATTTAGTTATGGTTCATTCTTAATAATAAAAATTAAAATAACTTAATAACAGCTTTTCCACTGTGACTATGATTATATGTCATGTGTCTTTTATGCTGTTGACAGATGATAATAAAATCTATTTTCTTACACATTATGGACAAATTTCATCTTGCACCACTTCTGATAGTTTTATAGAATCTGGAATAGAAATAAATCAATACTATTTAGAACACAAATAAAGATTTTAATGATGGTTAGTTCATAACATTTTTTATAATTAAGCATAAATTATTGTAGATAAGCTGGTAGATCACCATCATGGTCTGATTAGTGTGTGTAGTGAGAAAATTATTTTTACATTAATGAAGGCTGTTCGTACAATAGACAATTTCTTCATAATAATGCGATATTTAATCTTACATGTCATAATGCCAAAATTATTGTTTTGACTGTTGAGCAAACCATGCAACAACCACAACTTGAGACGTTACCAAGGTTTCACTCGATAATTTATCGAGTGTCATCAACGGTACTTAGTACACATCACGCCCGAGTCAAAACTTGTATTTATGATTTCCATTAGTAAAGGATTGCGGAAAATTCATGTTTATCAACAAAAGTGTTGCACATGTGCAGCATGCAACCACGCCCTTTAAGGAAAAATGGTTGCCATGATGATATGTGTTACTCATGTAATAACACATACTTTAACAAGTTCATTCATTAGAAAAATATATTAATGGTAATACTTTACTGTTTAATGCGCATTTGAGTGTTTTTTATGAACTATTAAGAAAAAAGTTTACGTATATTAATTACCTGATCACAGCAAACAGTTTACCATCGCAATAATAAAGTATCCACTCATTGTATTATATCCTAGCTCTTGATGTTCAAATAACTAAAACGCTTCATTTGTGTGAATCTAATAAAATAAAATTGTATAATATTAAAATCACTAATAAAATCAAAATACCAACCACTACAGTTATTCTATTATAATTGGAGTTTGGAACTGAAAAACAATCCTATACTGGCCGATAGTACTGTTTTAGGCAGATTATAATAAACTAATAAACAGTTTATTTGCTATTTCAGTAATATATTGTGTTTAATAGATAAAAGTACATGATAGAGTTGTGTCTATGGTAACAATAATTGTTATCATAAGTTATGTTTTATTGATCCATCATACAATTACTACAATTGTTGGTGTATGTATGTTTGTATTAGAAATATGCCTCTAATGGAACAAAATAATACAACTTGTCTGAATAACGACAGCTTTAAAATCTACACTCGGTGTACAAATCTCTTGAATTCGTAACTACATGTAGTATGTTTAAATGTATTCTGTTATTCATTGGTATAAAAACAAAAATAAACACATCAACGTTTTTAAAAAAAAAACAATGAATGTCGAATAAATTCAAATTATATACCGGTATATGCTCATTTCAGTCATAGCTTAATAAATACTATCATGTTATGTGTCCAAAATCACAGATACTGATGTATGAAAACAACCTGAAAAGTTCATATTGCAATAATTATAAATTATGAAACATTGTTCTTACCTGTTTTATCTGCACCAACTGAAAATTCTCTTTGATTGATGGTCCATCTTGGTCCACTTAGACTATTGATTCTTATGTCTACCAGCATCACATGCAGCTTGAAGATTATTTATTTTGATGTTGTATACGCGCAGAATGATATATACTCATTCTATCATGGTACCTCATTCATTGAATAATCATAAACCGAACATACTGTACACAACTAATGCATTCATTCATTCATTTCTCTCTTTCTTTCTCCTTCTCTATTTCACTTTTGCTTTCATACTCTTTCATGACATATTATCTTTCTATTTACTCACCAGTGGGTGCAACTGGAATGCCAGGTGGTATCTTCGGTGCAGGTGTAGCTATGAAAGAGAAACATTGTAAAGTTAATACTAATCAGTTTTCCATAAAAAAAAAAAAACATTTTCCTTTGTTACACTAGTTTTTTTTTTTATATATATATATATTTTTTTTTGTGCCAGGCGACAGTTCCGGACATTAAGTGTCACTGTTGTCTCTCCTGACTTTTTTTTTGTATGTGCAAATTGCAAGTGACGACACATAGTGCATTTTGCCACAGAAGTCATATTCATGTTTGGGACTACATGACAGGGCTGTGTGGCCATCTCTCTGTCAAATGGCAATTTGTAATGCGCTATCCTGGCATCAACCAGGCCCGGCCGAACACAAGCACCTGTGGACCTTAACCAAGGTTCCTCCAAAGTCGCATTCGTTAGTGAATGAATCTCGGGAAGTGGAATTGGCCTTCCCATTGAGTCTGTGGCACACTCACCCAGGGTAGGGGTCGACCATTTTGATGTTCAGCCTAAGGTAGGATTTGAACTTGGGTCTACCGATCATGAGTCTGGTGCGACAACCACTATGCTACCAGTGACCGGTTACACTAGTTTCATATAATAACAATCAATCAGTAGTCAATCAATCAATATTTGGTTTAAACAACATCATCTACATAACAGTGTATATTAAATTGTTCAATAATGAATATAATGGACTGTGAATCACATCAAATCGTAGATAACTTTGTCTGACTCTTTTTTTTTTCATTAACATACAATATACCCATCTCATCCAAGTTCTTGTTCATTCTAATTACAACATTTGTTTTACCACACAGTACGGTACATATTCTACAAATCGGAACTTACCACAGTCGAGGTGTGTACAATTCAAAATTCCACTTTCACAGGTGCTGAAAGGAGAAAATTTAACAAACTTCAGTTCAGTAAAAACACAAATTAAAATGATACAAATATTACATGGGTTGGAGTGCATATTAAATATATTTTACTTTCTGGATAAATGTTTACTAACTTCAGAGCAAACTATACTTTAATAGTTAATTAGTATAACTAATGTTATAGTCTCACCAATTATTACAGTCAGCATGGAACATTGTATCTTTATCAATGTATTGTCCAAGTGGAGGTACTGTAGTAACTACTGGGGTCACTGCTGAGAATATAAACAGATAGTTAAAGTGAGCAATTGCAGTATTCAAGATAAAGAATCTGATATATCTTATAAGATCTTGCCTAGAACCATGAAGATTTGCAGTACATACCTATTGTAACTACAGGACCGCCAGGGCCTCCAGGGCCACCAGGTCCATCTGGTCCACCAGGTCCACCTGGTCCACCAGGACCTCCTGGTCCACCGGGTCCTCCTGGTCCTTCAGGTTTGCCAATTTCATCAGGTAAGGTTATTCCCTGTGGTAAAGAAGGCCCATTTGGTCCACCAGGTCCATCAGGTCCTCCTGGTCCACCAGGCCCACCAGGTCCTCCAGGACCACCTGGTCCACCAGGTCCACCTGGTCCCAAGGGTCCTAATGGTTCACCAACATTATCTGGAATTTCTGGTTCTTCTTCGGGAGTTGGCGTAGGCCCACCTGGTCCACCAGGTCCATTTGGCCCACCAGGTCCATTGGGACCCCCTGGTCCATTTGGTCCTCCTGGGCCATTTGGTCCCCCAGGACCATTTGGTCCACCTGGTCCACCAGGACCTCCAGGTCCTCCTGGCCCTCCGGGTCCTCCAGGACCACCTGGTTTACCAACATCAGGTGGTGTTGTCTCATCTGTTGCAAGAGTTGGTCCTCCAGGACCTCCAGGTCCACCAGGTCCACCCGGTCCACCAGGCCCACCAGGTCCTCCTGGGCCACCAGGACCAAGTGGTTTGCCGGGTTCACCAATGTCTTCTGGATTCACTTCAGGTCCACCAGGTCCATCAGGTCCATTTGGTCCTCCAGGGCCATCTTAAAATATAAAGTATCATAAATTTGTAGGTCTTGGCACACACATTGATAATGTTGGGCTTGGTTTTTGATTTGTCTTTTTTCTTGTTGTTGTTGTTGTTGTTATTCAATGTTATTATCATTTCATATTTCTCTAAAAAACTATGGTAATGGTCCAAAATAAATAAAACTCTTGCTGATTTTTTGGGGGTGATATTTCATGAATACCATGTTGTCCCAGTTTTTACATCCGGTATTTTAGCTGGAACTTTGCACATATCATTATTATGCCATTGACAATCAATTTACAAACATCTGGTCACATACCATAAGGTAATTATGATACAGTTAATTTCATGTCTGGATATGTGATCTCATGAACAATACATAGGTATATTGGTCACAAATTGTCCAACTAACAGACAAAGAAGAAGACAGATGTAGGGATTCAGCAAATTTTATGAATTGCCAAGTGTCTTGAATCAATAAGGCACATATAAAATTCTCAAAGATCTATTGTAGAGTTGTATTATTTGTTATTTGAACACCTCTGGCAACAGACGATGTGTTCTAATTAAATATGCATCACTGACAGAGAATAATGCCAAGCCGAGACCTCATTAGGAACCAAATAAACAAAGTGTTGACCTAGAGATTATTGTAACAAGTTTTCAGCTACAAATCAAATGTTAAACTAGTTTTTGCTTGGGCTAGGTACCTGGTAATTTTAACAATATTCACTGAAGGATATGTTATATCTGTGCCTACACATGAAATGAAAAAATAGTTATGTGCATGTATTATGAAGGATTTGGCATTGACACTTACTTGGCCCTCCTGGTCCACTTGGTCCACCTGGTCCCCCTGGTCCCATTGGTCCACCTGGTCCTCCTGGTTCACCAGGTTCTGCCATTGCAGGTGTTATTACTACAGACAGATACATATAAAGGCTTAAGCAACATATTTGGTACACTGTTACATGTATTGTGCATTTATTTAGTTATATAGTTTATGATATATACATTCAAGTTTTACCTGTACTCAGTTCAGGTCCACCCGGACCACCAGGACCACCAGGACCAAATGGTCCTCCAGGTCCACCAGGTCCAAATGGTCCTCCTGGTCCATATACACCACCAGGTCCGCCAGTTTCACCAATATCATCTGGTAGAGTTACACCAGGAGGTAAAGATGGGCCATCTGGTCCACCAGGTCCATCAGGTCCCCCAGGTCCACCAGGTCCACCTGGTCCCCCAGGACCCCCTGGTCCTCCAGGACCACCAGGACCCAATGGTCCTAATGGTTCACCGACATTATCTGGAATTTCTAGTTCTTCTTCTGGTGTAGGTGTTGGTCCGCCTGGTCCACCGGGCCCATTTGGTCCACCTGGTCCATTTGGACCTCCTGGTCCATTTGGCCCTCCTGGTCCATTTGGTCCGCCAGGGCCATCAGGCCCACCTGGTCCACCAGGCCCGCCAGGTCCCCCAGGACCATCTGGCCCACCAGGACCTCCTGGTTTTCCCACATCAGGGGGTGTTGTCTCATCTGTAGCAAGGGTTGGTCCTCCTGGTCCTCCTGGTCCCCCAGGGCCTCCTGGACCACCTGGACCTCCCGGTCCTCCAGGTCCACCTGGACCAAGTGGCTTCCCAGGATCTCCAATGTCTTCTGGATTTACTTCAGGTCCACCTGGTCCATCAGGCCCATTTGGACCCCCAGGTCCGTCTTTACAAAAGACAAATAATGAGTATATTATAACAGTGTGGTATGTATGGTTTAAGAACTAGTATATGCCATATTCCTCAAATAATACTGTATTCATTTCAATGTTCCTTATAGAATAGAATAATATAACAAAAATAAAAGTTTCCAAAAATAATAGTACAGCAACATATCTAAACACGACAAAATACTACTAGCCATCATATGTTCCTCAATTAATACTACATGTACTGTGTATTCATTTCAATGTCCCTTATAGAATAATACAAAACTTTCCAAATAATAGCGCAGTAATACATTAAGCAATATAAAATCTGAACCAGATTTGAAAAAAGACGAGAAAATTACACTTATCTCTTTTTTTATTTATACTTCTAGGGGAAACAACATATCAGTTTACTACACTTATCTTATTGACAGATCTTTGAAAGCATATTTACTGTCATCTGGTTCTCATTACTTGAATTGAACTTTGACATTTTATATTGATTGATGAAATACCATAATTTAAAAATGATCAGATAAAAATTGTGTGAGTTAATGTAACCACAAGAAGATAATTTTCATGCAATATCTTGAAAAATATACACAGAACATGAACCAAAATGTTAGTTGAGATCCCAAACAGGTTAAAATAACATCAAAGTTTTAAAGGAATTGGATCAAACTGTTTAACTACAAAAAAACGTTTTACGACAGAATCAATGACAACATATTGAGAGATATAGTTGTGGAACAGCATTAAATAAACAAAATGGCCACCGGTTGGCCATTTTGAATCAGATCATCAAATCAATACATCTGTATATTTATGGCATGATGTATAAATGAATATTTAAAATTTGAGCATCAGTCAAAGCATATCAGAAATATGACACTAAAACCACATTTATAAAAAATAAAATAGCTGCCAGCCAGCCATTTTGAATCTGATCTGAAAAAAAAAAATTACATGCATCTATGACCCATAATGTCCAAAGTATGTACCAAGTTTGAACAAAATCCATATGTAAACACACAAGAAATGTTTGATTTTGATTTTGCACTACAAAAATAGCCGCCATTCAGCCATCTTCCCCTTAAATGATACAGACAAGGTAATAAAGAACTATTAAATTGTTTGTAGAGATTTGAAACAGATACAATACGTACTTGGCCCTCCTGGTCCATCAGGTCCACCTGGTCCTCCTGGTCCCATTGGTCCTCCTGGACCACCTGGTTTACCAGGCTCTGCCATTGCAGGTGTTATTACTGCAATAAAACGTTTATACTAAATTGTTGTATATTAGGTATTTGAGATGCTGTAAACAAGTACAATACAAAACAGTAATTTAAATATAAAATAAAATATTACTTTACCTGTAGTCAATTCTGGCCCACCTGGACCTCCAGGACCACCAGGTCCAAACGGCCCTCCAGGACCTCCAGGTCCAAATGGCCCTCCTGGTCCAAAAGGTCCACCAGGTCCACCACTTACACCAATGTCATCAGGTAAAGTAACACCGGGAGCCAATGATGGTCCATCAGGCCCTCCTGGTCCATCAGGTCCACCTGGACCTCCTGGCCCTCCAGGACCCCCGGGCCCTCCTGGCCCACCCGGTCCACCTGGTCCCAAAGGTCCTAATGGTTCACCAACATTACTTGGAATTTCTGCTTCATCTTCCGATGTTGGAGTTGGTCCACCTGGTCCACCAGGCCCATTTGGTCCACCAGGTCCATTTGGACCACCTGGTCCATTTGGTCCCCCGGGTCCATTTGGTCCACCAGGTCCATCTGGCCCACCTGGTCCCCCTGGTCCACCTGGTCCTCCTGGTCCACCAGGTCCCCCAGGGCCATCTGGCTTTCCCACACCAGGTGGTGTTGTCTGGTCAGTAGCAAGAGTTGGTCCTCCTGGTCCTCCAGGACCTCCTGGCCCTCCTGGTCCACCAGGTCCTCCAGGTCCTCCTGGTCCACCAGGACCAAGCGGTTTTCCAGGTTTGCCAACATCTTCAGGATTTTCTTCAGGTCCACCAGGCCCATCAGGTCCATTAGGTCCACCAGGTCCGCCTATAATTCAGTAAATAATTATATTGACTTTGAGTCAATCAATGTCAGAGAGGGGAGATAAACAATTTATTGAGGAACGAGAAACATGAAATCTATTTCCTATTTGTATATAATTATTTCATCACATATACTTATGCGCGCATACATGTATGTATACATTATAATATCACATGTGACATGTAATCATGCAGCAAGTGCAGTCATTATGGTCAAGTAAATAGACTCACAATGAAACCAATATCTCTATTGTCCCTGAAAGTTTTGTTTTTAAATCTCTGACCTACTGATAAATGCATCAAACAAAATTTAAAAGCTTCTCAAAATAAAAACACTACCTACACTATAATCCACCTTACTATTAATCCACCCTTATGCCTGACGATTCATGGTTAAAACACAAACAAATAGCCCAACAAATTATTATTTAATTCACTAAACTTAATAAGGCATGTTTATATTATAATGGTTATGGATCTGAATGCATCTTGTCAACCACTAACTTAAAATTGTGTATTAACATATTGGTTATAATTTTTGCAATCGATACAAAATATATTTCTTGATAGTTATGATTCGTACATACAATTAAATAGACGAAAACAGACAATAACTATTACACAGATGAACAAGTGACTTGAGGTATTAGTACTATAATAATAGTAATGACTTCACAGTTGGAGAATACATTTTAATATTTAAAAGTACCATACTTCCACGATCATAAGCCTATGTATGTATGCCTATATATGTAAAATCAGGAAAAGTAAGTATAAACTCGAGGACCACCTCAGGAAAAAATATTTTTTTTTGGTTTAACATTGTGACCACTTTACCACCCCCGAAAAATTATCCAAATTACATTTTTTATTAACCACGCCAGGCTCGGGGAAATATTTTTCTTTTTTGAAGAAAAAAAATGCGAAATTAGTTGTCATTGAATTCTTCAACACTTTTACAATGAAGAAATAAACATGTTCATAAAAGTACACACATTTTATTACAATATGCGAACTCTCGATGGAAAGCAATTCCCGCCATGATTTTTTCAGTATGATTTGACCTGAAACAACGTCCTTTGACCTCACAGGTCATGGTCTTTTTGGTCGATTTTATGGTCGATTTTTGAAGATGTAATTTGTTAACACGATGCGGAAGTCAAGTACCGCCATGTTAAAATGCGACCTGTAGCACTAATTTCATGATTTTTTTCCTAAAAGGAGCAATTATTTGAAAACCTTTCCATGAATGCCAAAAGGTCATGTTGAAGAACAGTTTACTTATTCATACTCCTTTCATGATTGTCTCAATGGACACAAACGATGTCCAATGACCAGGTTTCACGACTTGACGATAAAATTTTTGGCATTTCAAACGCTACTACTAAATGAAATATGGATTACTAATCAGTATTGCAACATTGGGGATTATCCTGAGTAAATAACAGAATAGAAAGGGTGTGAACCATATTATGTACGTTCGCCATGCACTTAATGCAAATTTTCTCATAAAAGCATGAACCAAACTACAGTACCAATTACAATTTTTATGCAATGACACACACTTTTCACATGCATATTTTAATGAACGTCATCGACTCCCAGTGAAAACACCCTGGGCTTATAATAGGAGATGCCCTTAACTTATACACAGGAAGGGGCTTATGATTATAATTCTTGTCTTTTGATTGAACTGTAGTTAGTCTTACCTGGACCTCCTGGACCTCCTGGACCGCCTGGTCCACCAGGACCTTGTGGTCCTCCTGGTCCACCTGGTTCCCCAGGAGCTGCAAATTGTGGTGTCACAACTACAAATTAAAAAGTACATAACAGTAAATGTTTCATCACCATTTGAGAAGGTGAATATAATAATCACAACACATACAATTATGAACG